AGATGTGGCACCTGAGGACATGGTTTAGTGGTGGCCTCAGGAGTGCTGGGTTAAACATTGGGCTCAATGATCTTTTAGGTCTTTTCCAACCTAAATAATTCTATGAGAATCAATGTTTTGAGCTGACCCAGCTGGAAACCTCAGTCTAATGTAGGCCACAATTTATTGCAATGGTAGTAGCAAAGGCTGGCAGGCAGCTTAAGGGTCTTGTGTTCATGCTCTTGGAGCAGAGAGCTGCCTGGTGATGAGGTGAGGAACCAAATTACTCAAATCACGGTGAAGACAGGGAGAAAGGAGATCCAAGCAGAGGAAGGAGGGCATTCCCGTCCTCTTTATTTCCTGACACACGGTGTTGTTTAGGAGATTAAAAAAAAAACATATGCAAGGAACTAGCAATGAAGACATCTCACCTTCTGAATTGTCTACAGCCTTCTCAAGAGCTGTGCTGCTCGAAGAGCACCTACAAAATAATCAGAGTTTTGAATTTATGGCAATCACAATAATAAGACAAAAGCAGATTAATCAAATTCTGTACAACGAGTGCACCTTAGAAAGAAAATCCTGAACATCAATCAGGAAAGACACTTAGTGTTTCAGAGGCAGGATCTAACTGAAAGCAGATTCAAAGTATTTTTTAAAAAATACTTTAGACCTGGGTACTACTTACATGAGCAGAAGGCCCTGAGTTGTGATGCAGAGTAATCAGCCCTGTTCAGCTCTACAGAGCTGCGTAGCCACACAAACCCCAACTGCATGAGGCACATTAATATAAACTCAGTTCTGTCTATCACAAAGCACTGCTCTGAGTCTTTCTTACTCACATTCAACTGCTTTGAACGTAAACTAAGGCTTTTATTAAAATACTTTTACTCTTTTTCCTCATGAAGCAACCCAACACCAAAGCCTTGGTGCAACTCTGGCACTCAGTGCCTGCACTCCGACCTTGGCCCAGAGAGGTGCTGTTAAAGTGCATTCACAGTTCTGTGCTGCACAGTGGCATAATTCCAGCTGCTCCTGGAAGTCCCATAAACTGACTAAGTGTGATTTTGCCACCCCAGACGTGAATTATATTTCGCCTACAGAGCACCCAGTGGAGGGAGGCCTTTTCATTTAAGGCACACCTGAACAAAACCTCCTGACTTCACAGAATCATAGGATGTTAAGGGTTGGAATGGATCTTAAAGCTCATCCAGTTCCAACCCCTATGCCATGGGCAGGGACACCTTCCACAGACCAGGCTGCTTTCTGCCTTGGACACTTTCAGGGATGGGGCATCCACAGCTTCTCTGTGGAACCTGTTCCAGTGCCTCACTGCTCTCACAGCAAAGAATTTCTTCCCAATATCTAATCTCAGTTTCCCCTCTTTCAATTTATACCCATTACTCCTTGTCCTATCACTACAGTCCCCAACAAAGAGTGTCCTCTACAGCTTCTCCACGTACTGGAAGGTTGCTACGAGGTCTCCAGTCAACATTCTTTTCTCCAGGCTGAACAGTCCAAATTTCCTCAGCCTGTCTCTGTAGGGGACGTGTTCACCTGCTTTTTCGCAAGACTCAGTTCTAAGAAACGCTTAACAGCTAAAACTCTCTGCCAGACCGGCTCTGAGCCGTCTAAAGGTAGGGAAGAGTCCCAGGAAAGGCGACTGAAGGCAGGGAAGAGCCCCAGGGAAGGCGACTGAAGGCAGGGAAGAGCCCCAGGGAAGGCGACTGAAGGCAGGGAAGAGCCCCAGGGAAGTCGCTCCCCTCACGCCACCCTAGCCATGCCGGCCCCAGGCGCCACCGCGCATGCGGACTGCGAACGCCGCCACTGCGCCTGCGCAGCCTTTCCCGCTTCACTCCCCACACCCCGTCATCCCCCGCCTCTCGATTCCTCCCCGATGCCGCCGCCGCCGCCGCCCGGCCTTTCCCTCCCGGCGGACCCTCACCGGTAGCTCTCCCGCCCGCCCGGGAGGCGGCCCCGCCGGCTCAGCCACAGGGCCCGCTGCCAGCAGCCGGCTCCGATCCGCCGCGCCGCCATGCTGCCCCCCGCGCGCTGCACTCTGGGAGCGGGGCGGCACCACTCCCGCGCCGGGGGGATGTGGGCGGTACCGCCACGGCACGGCAGTGGTGCCGCCCGGCCCCGCCTCCCCCGCGGCTCGGAGCGCGTGGTGCTGCCAGTGGCGCGGCACCCCCGGCGGGAGAGCGGGACGAGGTGTCGGCCGGGGAACGAGTCGCTGGTTCGCCATGAAGCCGCCCAAAGTGGTGCCGTGGCGGCGGCTGGTTGGGGTGTCCTTCGGGATGTACACGGCCGAGGAGATCAGGTGAGGCGCCATGTGTGTGCGTTCCCCGGCGTGCGGATGTGCTGAGGACTACAAGTCCCAGCGTGCCCCGCGGCGGCCGCCGGTGGGCCGCGGCGGGCTTTGGCGCGGGGCGTGCTGGGACATGTGGTCCGGCTGAGCCGTGGCCCGCACGGGCCGCCGGGGTGGAGGCAGCTGAGTTTTGTACAAACTCTCCCGCAGCTCGAGGGGACACACACAGACAAAATTACGTGACTTTTTAATAGAATGGCTAAAGATGTGAAAGAAATATTTGCTGCAGTGTGAATGGTTGTGCTCAGACGATGGAATCAGTGATACAGAAATTCCCGTTGCATGCACACCTCAAAAAGATGTTTTCATCAACAAAAAAAAATCATACAGCTGCTAAATGTGTGACTTCTTAATATTACGCGACTTCTTAATAGAACGGCTAAAGATTTAAAAGAAATATTTGCTGCGGTATGAGTTAAGTGTGCCCAGACGATGGAATCAGTGATGCAGAAACTCCCCGTGTGCAAAGTGCCCTCAAAAAGATGTTTTCATGAATTAAAAAAAAAAAAAATCACGCAGATACTAAATGCTCATGCTAGCTGTACCATTAAAGGACACATCATGTGGCCGTTTGCTGCTGCTGATTTTTACTCTTTGCTTTCAACTTCAGGAAACTGAGTGTCAAACCCATAACGAACCCTCAGTACCTGGATAACCTGGGGAATCCGGCTGCCAATGGACTGTACGATTTGGCTTTGGGACCTCCGGACTCCAAGGAAGTGTGTGCAACTTGCATGCAGAACTTCAGCAACTGCCCTGGTCATTTTGGCCACATAGAGCTGCCTCTGACTGTCTACAACCCCCTGTTCTTCGATGTACGTACGGTTAATTGTAGTCTTGCTGCTGCCCAAGCTGTCACACAGTTGTAGTCCTTGAGAATAGTAAAGGTCCCAAGATCTCTTTTCTCTCCCAAGTGTAATAACAGCAAATGTAGTAGAAAAGGTTTGTTGTGTCATAGTAGTTAAATACGAATAGACCTTTTGGAAAATACACACTTTGGTGTAACTATTATTTTACTCAGTATTGAGTGAGGGGGAATGTTGATCACTCACTGCAGGGTCTCATGCCTTAATTAAATGGATGGCACAGTAAAAATTACCATTTCCTTCAAACAACTACTACACATGGACTACTTTTAGCTTAAGTTCTCCAAGTGCTTCCTGGGCATTCAGGGCTCGTTTTTGCTCCAAATAGCTGTGCTGTACATTCTGCCCAGTAGGTCCTCTTAATTCAGATGACTTATTGTAGAAAACTGGATCAATGTGGATAGAACTCAACAACCTGTCCAGTAATAAACTGTGACACAATGGTGTGCCAAGTAAAGGAAAGAAAACGGCGTTGTAAGTTTGGTGGCGGCAGATAGTTGAAAAATACTGAGCTGTGTAGAAATCCATCAGTATTTTTAATTTAAAATAAAGGCTGTCAAGAAGATATTTCTTATAGTTTTACAGGTGTTGCATTTGCATGGTGTGTGGGATGCCTGTTGTAGAGCAGAGGTTTGGCTTGGTGTGCATCTGTGGGGACAGGTGTTAGAAGCTTGTTTTGAAAGCTACAGGGAGTGATCAAACTGCACTTTCTCACGAGTGCTTATGTAGGTGTTTTTCCAAAAGGTCATCTCTTAAATGTAAACGGAATCCTGGGTTGTAGGATTTGCCTTATTTTGGTCTTCTGAAAGTTAGATGCATAATCTGATTGTGCTTTTTAGCTCTTTCTGGACTCTGAGGAGTGGGGCTATTTGCAGAGGGATATTCATCCAGTCTGTAACAAACCTGAGCTGGGATGAATTTCCTGAGGTCCTGATCTCACTCACCATTTACTGCCTTCTGCACAGGGCATTAATTGAGAGTAAAAAGCCACACTTTGAAGTTAGATTAGGTACATCCCACTTCTAGTCTTGTTCCAGCTTGTGAGTAAAATACTTGTATTTGACCAAGGATTTGACCTGCAGCAGTAATTCAAAGCCTTGAGGCCACTGGGGCTCTGTGCAGAGCTATGTTAAATAATAAAAACCACTGATAATTCCCCAGAGCTTGAGAAGAATGTGATTGTGTGAAGAATCTTGAAGGACACTGATGGTACTTGTGACCAGAATGTTCCATTTTACTAGTGTGGGGTTCTGGGTACCATGTTGTCCTTTTTGGGATGAGCTGTGAGGAGCTGTAGTCACTGTGCTGTGTAAGAGCAGCCTTGGTCCCAGACCTGCTGTAGAAATGACAGGTATTTCATATATCTGTTATGTAGATGTCTTGCAAGTAGTTTATCTACAGATCATGCTTTGCATATCAGTTTGTGTGGGTGAAAGATTTTTTTTCCCCAGTCCAATTCTTTATGATTAACAATTAGTCTAATTTCTCAATTATAGTAGCACTGTCTTTAATTCCCAACAAATCTATCAACTTGCTTATTGTGCTAGTTAGTAAATCTACCAGGATAACCTTTTGTTCCCCTTTTCTTTCCAGAAATTATACCTTCTGATCCGAGGTTCTTGTTTGAACTGTCACATGCTGACATGTACTCGAGCCGTGGTTCACTTACTGCTGAGTCAGCTGAAGGTGCTGGAGAAGGGGTTTCTTCATGCTGTCTATGATCTTGAAGTCATTCTGAACAGGGCAAGTACTGTGTATTGCTCCATCCCTCTTGGAGTTCTTAGTCCCATAACTATAAAGCTGTGCCCATTTCTGTTATTCTGTTCCTTTTAGTTTTTAGAGCAATGTGCAGATGCAACAGGTTCAGAAATCGAAGAGGAGCTTAATCACCACGTTCAGGAAATATTACAGAGCTCTCAAACAAGAGATCAGTGTTCAAATGTAAGTACAATCAGTGCTTCTTCTGAGATCTCGGGGTTTGTGCTCTTAAAATAGTAATGTGCAGAAGAGAGCCTGTCTTTGACTGTGTAGGTGCTGGATCTTGTCCTGGAGTTCTGAACTCTGTTACGTTTAGATGGCTTTTTGAGTGAAATGTCTGAAATTAAACTTAAAAAAAGATTTTATTTCCTGTTAGCATAACTGCTAGGTTTCTGGAAAACAGTATTTTTTTTTTCTTTGTAGGGAAATATGTTGATGGTGTAAATACCACATAAAAGTCTGATACTGCTGTCAGTACATTACTTACACTTTTGATTCTTCTCTGTATGATGCTTCAGCTATTTTGAGCTGCAGAACATATTTTGAGAACTCATGCATCCAGCAAACTTGCAGAATTACTTACAGTGAAATTTTTAGAAAGACTTTAGAATTTAGGAAGAATCTAGAATTCTAATTTCCATTTAAATGTAGTTTAATGTACGTTGTTAGTAAAGGCAAATATGAATGAAGAATATATTTAAAGTTTTAAGATCTTTGAGCAGATTTGTTTATAAGCCAAGTTTAATTCCTAATCACTTGTTCCAAATCTAAGCTTAAGCACTTGGTAGATCACATATTCATGAGCAGTCAAAAGAAGTGATTTTTATCATTCTTCTACCTTCTTAAGTCATCATTAGAGAAAAGTTTTGAATTATAGCTATGAAATAAATTTAAAAAGGAGGGTGGTGAGCACTGAGGGGTGTATATTTCCAGCAAATATGAGATGATGATGAACGTAAGGCATGAATTAAATCAGTACAAGGGTGTGTGTGCATTGATACTAATAACGTCCCTGTTGATAGTAAATGTAAACTGTATCATTTTTAATGAATAATTTTATTACTTTCGTTTAATTTTACTATTTTCATTATTTTATGTTGTTTTTTTTTTTTCTTTATCAGGTCAAAAATGTATGTGACTGTCGAAATAATCTGATAGCACAGTTCTGGAAAGCACATATGAGTTCAAAGAAATGCCCAAACTGCAAGTAAGTTTAACTACATGAGGAAGTAAATAGCTAGTGTGAAGTTAAATATTGTACTTCTCTTAACTTTTGTCTGCCTTTCCTGTTTGATTTTTCTTTTTTTTACCTTTAAGATCCAGGAGATCACTGGTGAGAAAGGAGCATAACAGCAAGCTGACAGTAACCTATCCTTCTACAGTGTACCATAAGTCAGGAGAGGGAGGCATTCTGGATGAACCAGCAGGTAAAATATTTGTCTCCTACTTAAATGTGTTTGCACTTTTTCTCCTGCATTAAAGGGGAACAGGTTCCTAGCAGTGACTATGCACCTCATTTATAAAAAACGTAAATAAAAGAGTAAGCTCAGAGGTTGGGGAGTACCTTATTCCATTAAATTTCTCTTGGCAAGTCTTCTATGCTTTGCACCTGCAAGTGTCTGTGTGTCAGGAAAAGAAGTACAAAAGCATAAGCTGTGTCAGCTTTAGGGTGGTTTTTGGGCACCTCATTTTTGGCAGGTAGATGATTTTCTGCTAGGTTTTTGAAACAGAGAAACCAGACAAAAAATTACCTAGGAGGAAGATGACCAATCTTACTTCAGAAAGAAAATCAGACAATACTAACTCTTATGAAAGAATATACTCTTAAAGAGGAAAAGACAGAAAAGAAAGTAGGTGACACTTTTTGGGTTTAATTATTTAGTGTTGAATCAATTTAAACTTACTTTTTTCCTCTTGTATCCTTGATCGTTTACACAATGAGATAGAATTGAAGCAGATTTTTGTGTGTTATTCAGCCCTCAGGAAAGGTCTACATAGAGAGTTTATTTTGTTTGCTACTCTGTGGTTTAAATACTAGATTAAATCTC